ATTTTTTTTCCGTATTTAAGAATGATTAAATTATTCTTCATTTTGGTTTAAACGAATGCTAAAAATTGCAAGATTGTAAAATATTATCACACAGTGGACGATCATTTGCAGAAAATAATTATTTCCATATCTTTTTTTTTTAGATATTATCAGTTACACCGCTCATTTCTGTCTATAATATAGATCATTTTGGCTTGTTTGATTAACATCAATGGGCTCTAAATGATTATCTAATTAGCAGTTTCAACTTAGCATTGAACCTAAAAGTTTACAAATTTGCTAGACACCATGTACAATAATTTTCTTAAATCACATACAATTAGTTTTGCAATAAATATGTAAATTCCAGATCTATTCTAGGAATGCCAGAAATCTTTAATATAAAGATAAATTATTCTATTAGTATTTCCATTTTTGACTGATTTTTATCAATTGAATTTGTATTATTTCGGAAACGAATAAAGGTTTTGAAAGTTTGTTATTAATACGCACTAAATTTTAAATTTTAAAATAGATAACGGATTAGTACATAGCCATTACATTTACAAGTCATTCTTATATTTTGAAAGTTATCGATAGGGTTAAATTCAATATAGTTTTATAATACCTTATGATTTAACTGATTTAAAAGTTAATGAACTTTAAATCATCTGAACAAGTAAAATGCTTTTTCAATAAAACTTTAGAAATTAAAGACTTTGCTACAAAAAAAAAATCTGACACCGATTGAAATTTCGAATGTCATTTAATGCAAAACGAAAAATCATTTTTGTATAGCTTTAATAATTTAAGTACTGTTGAATTTTTAAAACTTAAAGCAAATTTTTCTAATCGAATTCGATAAAAATTTTTTATATACCAATTTTGCAAATTGATTGGCCAATTTCCAACCATTTATCATGTGATTTTTTCAAATCCGATAACCTCTCAAAACTGATACAGAACCCGTCCACCATGGATACCGGTTTTGAGAGGATAACATAATAATGTTATTCAGTTTCATGATAGTATACACAAATGATTCCTTAATTTTTTTCTAGATTGATTCATTTCTATGTCTGATCAAAAAACCTTATGATATACTAGTACGACAGCATCGCACAGCTACCTTATTAGTTAGGTTAACCTCAAATTTGGCATCTCAACTCAACGTCGATGTGACAAATTCGAATTTGTCACATCGACGTTGAGTCGAGATGCCAAATTCGAATTTGTCATATCGACGTTGAGTCGAGATGCCAAATTTGAGGTAACCTGACAATTTAAAATTGTCACTCCGATTATAAGCCTTTTTTCATTAAGTTAAATCACACTATGCGACAATTTAGCATGTTATTAGTTACAAGTATATATTATTAGTAAATTGTCGCATAATGTGATTTGATTTTTTATGTAATAAGTAATTACCTTGCTCATCTCTATTCACGATCAACCAGTGCATTATTTTAAACCAATTCCCCGACCACTATAAGGGGTATTCATTCATATTCAAATAGGTAAACCTCCTATTTTTATTTTGTGAAACCAAATAATTTCTTAAAAAAACTTAACCCTATGACTACACTACGTATAAGGTTACAAAAAGCTTATTTATAAGCGTTATAATTATTTCAAAAAATAATCTTCGATTTTTTTAATTTGAGATATAGTAAGGTCTGCAATTGAGTAAAAACCGTATAATTTAATTCGTCGAATTTTGTCAACTCCAATTTTTTTAAATAAATTATATATAGTATTTGCTCTCTGTGTTCTTTTTTATAAAGTTTGTAAATCAACATCTACAAGACAGGTCAAAAGTTCTCTATAAACTTTTGATTTCGCCTTGTTTATAGTTATTCTAGTATTATTTAATACTTTTTTTACTTCTTTTTCAAACCCTTCAGCATAATGATACCAGGATAATATTTCAGCTTGGTTTGCATGTTTTGCACGTTCTTTATTATGATTTGCTTTATTATATAGTAAAACCAAACCTGATGTTATATCATTTTTCTCAACAACACTTGTTGTGTTATCTTCACTACTACTAATAACTTCGGATATATTATCAACAGGAGTTTTTAATTGCTTGAAAATTCCTTGAAAATTTTTATCTTTTCTTATTACAGATGAAACGGATGAAGTAGATGCTACTGATACGATAGATTCAGTATATGTAGATTCGTTATATATAGATTCAGCATATATAGGTTCAATATACATAGATTCAGTATAGGTAGGTTCTGTAGATGTAGGTTCAGTAAAGGATGATATAACAGATACTACAGGTGTAAAAGGTACCATGGATGTAGCAGATACTAAAGATGTAGTAGAAGTAGATGCTGGAAACGTAGTAAGTGCTAAAGGTATAGTAGACACTGTAGATATAAATACAGTAGGTGTTATAGGTATAGTGGGTGTAGTGGGTGCTGTAGATGCTATATGCATAATAGACGGTATAGGCGTCATAAGTGTATTAGGTGTAAATGCTATAGGCATCGTGAACGTAGTAGGTATTATCTTGGTAGTGTCAGAGTTTTCGTCATTATCTATATTCATTAAATTTTCAACTTCATTATCCGTATTTATTAAATTTTTAACTTCATTATCTGTATTTATTAAATTTTCAACGGTCTTGTTTTTAGTACCTGCCTCATTTCGACAATTAGGACAAAAAAGTTTTAAATCAACAACCCAATGGCTTATACATTTTTTGTGAAAAAAATGCTGACATGATAAAATTGTAATTGATTCTTGAAGAGTTGGACTAATTATATCTTGACAAACTGTGCAAGTATTCTTTTCTTCTAAATTAACATATTCAGGAATTTCCTCAGACATATTTTGAAAAATAACTTTATACATAAAGTTTTTTAATGTTTCTATTTTTATATAATAACACTTATTACAATGTTTGTTTTCCGTTGCTATTGTTTGAAAGAGCCGTTATGAGAATATAGTCCAATTTTGGGTGCTCTCAAACATCTCACTCAGTGTAATTAGCTAGCTATAGAGATCGTGCACAAGTACTACGATTAATTAAAGTAAACCTTATAGTAATTTTGTCGAGAATTCACGTTGCGAAACGTGGATATGAAATTTTGGCCAATCAGCACAACTCTATGATAAAAAAAGATGGTTGCTAACTATCTTTTTTTTCATCGTGATAATGAACTTGCTTGACCTAATAATTTATTTTCCAATAATTAAAAATTAAACTCAGACTTGTTGATTTAGATGCTTGAGAGCACCCTTAGCCTACTTAAATAGATCAGATTACAATTAAGCAACAATTAATTTATGAGACACAGGTAATTAAGAGTAACAATGAAAATCAAAAGTAATAAAGCAGTATCGATATATAATATAAGCAGTTTTAAAAATTTCACAACACTTTGAAATTTGTTTTTAATATCTTTATATTCAAGATATTGAAGCCTTATTAATGCAAAAATAAACTAACAACAACTTAAATATTATCATACATGAATCAAAAGTTGAGATCAAATTTTAATTACTAAATTTAGATTAAAAAGCCCATAGTATAATCCAGAGTTTTAGGGTGCTCTCAAGCATCTCACTCAGTATAATTAGCTAGCTATAGAGATCATGCATATGTACTACGATTAATTAAAGTAAACCTTATGGTAATTTTGTCAAGAATTCACATTGCGAAACGCGGATATGAAATTTTGGCCAATCAGCACAACTCTATGATAAAAAAAGATGGTCTCTGACTATCTTTTTTTTCATCGCGATAATGAACTCACTTGATCTAATAATTTATTTTCCAATAATTAAAAATTAAACTCAGACTTGTTAATTTAGATGCTTGAGAGCACCCTTAGCCCACTTAAATAAATCAGATTACAATTAAGCAACAATTAATTTATGAGACATGGGTAATTAAGAGTAACAACGAAAATCAAAAGTAATAAAGCAGTATCGATATATAATGTAAGCAGTTTTAAAAATTTCACAACACTTGGGAATTTGTTTTTAATATCTTTATATTCAAGACATCAAAGCCTTATTAATGCAAAAATAAACTAACAACAACTTAAATATTATTATACATGAATCAAAAGTTGAAATCAAATTTTGATTACTAAATCTAGATTAAAAAGCCTATAGTATAATCCAGAGTTTTAGGGTGCTCTCAAACATCTCTTTCAGTGTAATTAGCTAACTATAGAGATCATGCACAAGAACTACAATTAATTAAAGTAAACCTTATGGTAATTTTGTCGAGAATTCACATTGCGAAATGCAGATATGAAATTTTGGCCAATCAGCACAATTCTGATAAAAAAAGATGGTCTCTGACTATCTTTTTTTTCATCGCGATAATGAACTCGCTTGACCGAATAATTTATTTTCCACTAATTAAAAATTTATTAATTTAGATGCTTAAGAGCACCCTTAATCAACTCAAAATTATGCAGCATTTGCAGTATCCAGATTATCTAATAAAGGACACTAGAGACCCCAGATTATGCGTATTGAAAAGCGTTGTAATGATTTCAAATAATGCAATATTTGTGCTGTGCATATTTCGTATTGTTATAAATTTGATTTATCATTGTATAATAAATTTAAGATGATAAAAAAGAAATTTAACAATTATATACAAATGCTTTTATTATTTACTTAAAATGCCTGCACTAATGTCGCATAAATCTTGTAAAAACAATGATAATTAATCGCCTATTATGCGATCGCATATGTCTGTGGTCTCTAAAAGAATGCCCTATTTCTGTATAAAAGAGAATTTAAAGTCTTTAATTAACAATAATTATTGTATACCAAAAACAAATTATTACTATTTCAACTAAATACTATACCACTTAAATTAAGCATCTATAATTATTTTGTTTTAAACATAATTATATGTCAAAATTATCAACTAATTATGCGTATTACCCTAAAAATAGTTTGATTAATCATACTGCAAGTAGTATTTAATATACAGTAATTTACTATTAAAAGTAGTAATAAAGTTCTGTTAGAATTGTTCTTGATAATTTTAAATCAAAAAATCAGCTAAAAATGTGATAATTTATTATTATACCAGAGATTGTTACAGTATCAATATGAAATTAAAAAAGGCATCTTTAAAATAGACCTGGAATATCGTAAGCCCATAGTATGTAATTGACATATATACTGTATGATTTTGTACGTACATATTTAAAAAAATGGATCCACGATTTAAAAAAATATAAAAACTTATTAAATAAAATTT